TCAATAGCTTTGATTTCCTAATTATGCTCAGAATTTATATTCTATCAAACTCTTGCAAAAAATATTTCACACTAAGTTCTTGAAAATTGAATTTCTCACACCATGTATGTATTTGGCCAATATTAATATTTAATGCATACCCCAATCAATAGAATTACACCATAATCAAAATAGTTGTGTCCAATTTCTATTGCCCTCATTTAGATTGAATACTATATTAAATACTAAGTTCAAATGTAATTAACTAAGCTCAAATGTAAATACTATGTTAACTAAGTTCAAATGTAATTAGATTGAATAAAAAATATCAAATAAATTTTAGAATGTATTTCATGCATTATTATTTATTTACTTATTATTTTTAATAAATATCCATTTAATGATTAACTTCTACTAACATGAATGTCCAAGGCATTTACCATTGATAAGTATTTTAATTGACATGGAAATGTAGAAAACCTAGAAGTAGGAAAAACAGACTTTTATTAGAATTATTTGAATTTACAAAGTGAGGTGTGGCATGGTAATGAGATGATTATATCAGGCCCAATAGCCAAGCACATCACAAGGGGGTTAAGTAATGGAAGGAGAGAGAGAGGGGGAGGGCTAGACCTTGATGGGGGCTCGGGTATAGAGAAACAGCGATGGTGAGGGCTTTCCCTCCAAGTGACAAGCAAAGGTGAGCATGGTAGTGGCATAGTGACCTGAGCATGACAGTGGCAGAGCCTTCCCTACTAGCGTTCAAGCTTTCCCTCTCAAGTGATAAACAGAAATGGGAGGGCACAGAAGAAGGGGAACCCATGAACTGAACTTTGTCCTATTTGCATTTCATTTGTGCTATTTTTTTAGGTTGAGCCATGTGGGTGACAGGCAGTGGGATTGAATTGTTTTTCATGCTCATTTATCCTTTTCTCACATGATTATTGCTCAATTCTCTTTCTAAATTATTATGTTACTTATTGGGTGACATAGGACTGTTTTGCTTTCCATTTCACATATGAGTTTATCTTTTTGCAACTAGAATGATGTCTTCAATTTCAACTCTAATTTCGAGTGCTACTTCATGTTTAAATATTGTTTATTCCTTATTCCGTTCTTTTTCTCAGTCTCCTTACAGTTCATCATTGTTGTCCTTTTTTTGGTGAAGATGTAGTAGCAGCTACTAGAAATTAGGGATAATTAATTTTTTTGGAATTATTTTATAATTTTTCATTTAATAAATATTTGAGAACAAAATTTGACAGTAAAGAATTTGACAATCATCCCTGAGGATCTGATGCTGGATAAACCAATAAAAGTTTACTTTAAATCAATCTAGATCAATTCACAAGGAGACTAGAAAAATTCACACAAATTTTAGAGTTTAGTGGCTACTAATTTTGACTTTATTGAATCCCACAAAGGATTGAAAATAAGATCTCCTATCCAATGATTAAGGATGTCTAGAATCTAATGAATCGAATCAAATCTAGACCAGGGTTTTAGGATCACCAATTAAAAATTTCATAGCTAACCTATGGGACGCACAAGTGCAACTGCAAGTATAGAATTAAAAATCAAAGTAGAAATATCACAAAGAAATAAAAAGTCAACACACCTTGATAAATGAGTTTAATCACTAATCTCGATCTCTTTCATTTCTTTTGTTCATGAACCAAGGAAGTAATTAAAGAGCACTTGAGTTGAGAAAATTGTGTAAGGGAAGGGGTGGAAGTCATGGAGCAAGTGAAAGAAGAGGAAGGATAGAAGTGTTAGTTTGACCCTCTCATCCTTTCCCTAAGGAGTGAAGTTGACTCTCACTGCCTCTCCTAGAAGAAGAAAATTTGGAAAATAATTATTGATACAAGACATGTTTCACAATGTTCAAACCCATAAAAGTTTATCCCCCCATTTTCGAGAGAATTACTAGGATTAAACATAGAAGTCAGGTCTGTGTCTTATTCTTGTTGATTGGTGAAAGGGTGTTGCCTCCTCCAAAGGTTGTCTTGAATAGTTGTCTAGCCCACCCTTGGAAGTACAAATCTTTTGTGGTTCAAAGAGTGCATGTGGAGGTAGTTGACTGGTAGTTACAAACATCCCTCCCTTGGCTTCTTTTGGATGGAAGTTGGGGCAATTATTGGAAGTTGGTGGAAGCACTTCTTCCAAATGGGCCCCCTTCTTGACTTGGGCTTGGGCTGAATTTCGGTTCAACCCCCCCCCCTCCCCATGTCCAATTTCACTCTGAGCAGGTACAATTGACCTTCCCTCTTGGTCAAGTGTTGATTTTGGTTGACTTTGACCCCATCATGATCTACCTCAATTGACCAGAATTTTAAAGCTAAAGTTCATATTCTAGGTTCAGTATAAATGTTAAATTTGATGTATTTTAATTCAAAAACTAAAAGAGTATTACTTAGTTAGAGAATTATGAATACAAGAGCATGGTTCTAACCCAACAGGTCATTTTCTCTGAACCATTTTTCATAGAATCTGTATCAATATTTTCAAAAGATTTAATTTGGATCAACATGTCATTATCATACTAATTTTTCTCAACTCGAAAATTCCATAAATAATGTGTATTAACTACCATACAAGTCTCACGAAAATTTGGGACCTAATGGATATGTTTTTAAGCTAGTTTACCTATTTTTCATGAAGTGGATAGACTCAACTTGACTCCCTTGATGGTGAAAAGAAAAGGAGAAAGAAAAAGAAAAGGGCCCCAACAATACCTTACTTAGATATCACATACACTACATTAGAGTCAAGATACAATGCCACACACTTTGACCACAGCTCAAGAAACCTAATCACACATGTAGTATAATGCTAGACCCCACTCATAACTAGTCCTTGTAACATCTTTAAGCAACACCTTTACAATATCTTGGAGTGTTTTTAATGATTCTCTACCACCTCCACATTCATTTGAAGCCATATTCAAACTATGATCCTCACAGAATCTCTCAAAAACCCAAGGATGCTTTGCAATTTCTACTTTAAGCTTGGATGTTCATTTATTTATAATAAAACCAAGGGTCATTATAAAGCCATGAATCTAAAATGCTAGGTGAGTATTGAAATTATATTAACTAGCCCACTAGAGTTGTGAATCTAAAATAGATTCACTAGATGCCAATCTAATTTGAGCCCCAATGTTGTGAGTTGAAAAAAGCCTTGGATATAGAAGTAACTATCTAACCTGCTTGGTGTTGGTTTCTTAATTGACTAGTAAGTATACCAAGAGAGGTAGTGTCTTTGTTTAATAATGTGTACTATTTTTTATTACTGATTTTATGTTATATATGTGAATTTTAGCTTTAATAGTCATGATATAATTTTTTGAGTTAACACAATAAGTTGCATAGTGGGTCAACACACTAAGTTCCAAGACATTCAGAACACAAAGTCAACATAGTGGTTCTCCATTTTTGTGTATGTCCACTTTTCAGTAGTATACCTTTGATTTCTATTGTCTACCACACCAGACATTGTGTTAGTAACTTATTTGCTCACAAATAAGCTGATAGCAAACGTTGCATACTAGTAGATTATGATGAGAAGCTCCCAAGATCACTAAATGTGTCAAACACCCTAAGAGGCTTTAGTTGTGAAGTTTTTCTTGACTGAATAGAAATGGTTTTTGAGAGAGATTTTTCAACATATGGATACAAATAAAATCTTATTCTAATATCATGTTAAGAATGGCTAAATTATTTTAGCTTTTTTTATTAAAATATTTCTCAAAATTAGATGAGTTGATTCTGATGATTACAAAATATTAACATTCACACTTTTAGGCATAGTAATGAAGGTTTTCCAAGTCACATGTAACCAATGTATGAAAACTATATGATAAGTATTTATATCCAAACTTATATAGCAATATAAGTAGAAAATAATATTTTACATATGTAGGCATATGAACTAGAACAAGGGACTCAACTTACAGGTCAATCCTTATATGCAATGAAAGATAGAAAACACAAGGGTTTATTCTTATGTCAACTCATGCACAAAAATTTATACAAGAGTTAACCCTTAGTTTAACGCTTGCAAATTTTTGAATGTTGTTTCTACACTAGTTCACCCATGAATTGACTTGCATGAAAAACATTGCTTTTATAAGAGTAGACTCATAAGTTTACCCTCCAAAACCTTAACTACTTTTGTGAGAGTCAACTTTTTGGTCAGCCTAAAATAATCTATTTACATAAGAACAAAGAGTTATTTTTACAACTACTAATAGGACTTTACCAACAAGTTGGCCCATGCAAAAAATTATGTTATCAACGACTTAACTTTCATCTCAACCTGTGAAATTACATAATAAAATGAAGGATAGAGTATCAACAATAAGAGAGTTGACTCAATATAAAATTGGTCCCTTGTGACATCAAGTTTGGGAGAAACCTAGTGAAAATACTCTTTAAGGTTTTGGGGAGTGCAGTAGGTCAGTGATTGACCAAACCACTAAAATTCATCCCCCTTTGATATTCTACTGGCATTTTTGTGGCAACTAGCAGTTTCATATCCCATACAAAAACCCAATAGAATCCATTGAGAGAAAGAGAGAGAGAGTAAGAGAGAACATTTGCGCTAGTATGAGCCAATCTAATGTGTTCGCATACCATCTGGACAGATGAGACCTTGGTGACAAAATTTGTCTAGAATGACGGGTCCGTACATATACCCCGGCCCATTTGGGCCCATTAAATTTGCGCCCACCAAAATGCCGAGCCGTTCTTTTGTTTTCCCCGTTGTCGATTCGAATGTGTACAGTTGAGCCGGATTAGGTTCCAACCGCCCCCCGTTTTTTCCAGAATTCGAGATAACCCATATTCTGGCCCATTAAGGGAGGCCCACTAACACCAAAAAATCAGAAAATGTGTAAAATATCTCAGCGCGTATTGTAGATAAGGCCCTGGACACTGCCCTCGACTTCTCTCTCATTGTCGTCGCGAGAGAGCTCCTCGCCCCCGCCACGACGCCGCCGTTTACCAGTCGGAGCTACCCCGATGGCGGCGCTCTCTCTAACTCCTTCCAATCTCAGCCACGTCTCTTCGAGCCGCCATCGCCGCCACAACGTCCTCCTCCTCGGCCGCATCCGCCCTTTAGTAACTTCCACCCCCAAATCAACTCGCCTGAAGCAAATCTCCGCCGGGAAGCTCCCCTTCTCCCCGCCGCCATCCCCTCCAGGAGAGCTCTACCAGCCCTTCAGACCCCCGCCGTCTCCGATTCCGCCCAAGTACCGCTCCCTCGACCCCGCCGAGCGTCTGGAGGTCCTGCGCAACCGCCTCGGGCTCTGGTACGAGTACGCGTCGCTTATTCCTCCCCTGTCTCAGGAGGGGTTCACCCCCGCTTCGGTGGAGGAGCTCACAGGCATCTCCGGGGTCGAGCAGAACTGTCTCATCGTTGCCGCCCAGGTCCGCGATTCGCTGCAGTCCTCCAAATTTGATCCCGACCTCCTGGCCTACTTCGACAGCGGGGGCTCCGAGCTCCTCTACGAGCTCCGCCTGCTCAGTGCCTCGCAGAGGGTCGCCGCCGCCCGCCAGGTGGTGGAGGGCCGACTCGACGCGAAGGCCGCCCAGGAGCTCGCCAGGGCCATGAAGGACTTCCCTCGCCGGCAGAGCGACGATGGTTGGGATTCCTTCTCGAGGGAGTCGCCGGGAGACTGCCTGGCCTTCAGCTACTTCCGGCAGAGCAGGGAAGCCATCTCCGACTCCGAACGGAGGGTGGCGCTCGAGAAAGCACTGGAGGCTGTGGAGACGGAAGTGGCGAGGAAGAGGTTGGAGCAGGAGCTGGAGAAGAAGGCCGGCGGCGCTGACGCAGAGGAGGCGGCCGATGAGGTCTCGAAGTACAGCGTCCCGGTGGTGCGAATGAAGTACGGCGAGGTAGCGGAGGCCACCTCCGTGGTGGTGCTCCCGGTGTCTGAGGCCGGCGAGGGTGACGAGGGCGTGGCGACGGCGCCGGCTTGCAGGACGGACGGGGACTTCGGTGTCTTGACCGCCGACAAGGCGTGGCGGAGGTGGGTGGTGCTGCCGCGGTGGGATCCGCTGGCCGTAATCGGCGAGGGCGGCGCCGTGGCGGTGGGTTTCCCCGATGCGAGAGTTCTACCGTGGCGGACGAACCGCTGGGAGCGGGAGGAGCCGGTGCTGGTGGTGGCGGACCGCACTCGGAAGGTGGTGGAGGAGGAGGGGTTCTACCTGGTCAGCCGAGTGGGCGGAATGGCGGTGGAGAGAGGCAGCAAGCTGCTCGAGATGGACGTGGAGGCCCTGGGCACCGTGGTTCTGGTGGTGCGCCCCCCAAAGGACGAGTTCGACGATCAGCTGCAGGACGAGGACTGGGACTAGCGATCGCACCCCTCGGGGAGGCGCCAAGATCTTATCTTTTTTGGTATTTTGCTCTCAATTGAACGACGAGAGAATAAACAGATGATCCATCTCATCTTATCGAGCCTCGTTTTCTCCCTCAAGAAATTTTAGCAATCTAAACGTCGTTGGAACGTTCTCTTCCATCCATCTGACAGTTTTGATCTCCCAAATAAAATAAAAAATCTTAGTCGGTGTTTCCCCTCGCTTAATCTCCTTCCCAACCAAACGGCAATCCGATAGGCAAGATTCCGACGCGTCTCCGTTTTTATGCGTGCCCGACACCCCATGAATGAGTGGGCTTTCGTTTTGACCTCCGAGGGGCTCACTGGGAATCTTCGCCTGACGACGCTCACAGGGAGCTCGCTCTAATGGCGCCGCCCTCCGAGTACCAGTCTGATATAATGTTGGCAGAGCTGAAGGCCTTCGACGAGATGAAGGCGGGGGTAAAAGGGGTTGTCGAGTCCGGAATCAAGGCCATACCACGCATCTTCCTCCTTCCAGCCGCGGAGAGAGACGCCAACGAGGGGGCTCCCGACCCGCCGGCACCGCCGCTCCTCGAGCTCCCCGTCGTCGACATTTCCGCCGTCATGGGCGGCTGGCATGGCGATCTGCGCCGGGAAGCGGTGGAGTAGATCATACACGCCTCAGAAACCTGGGGCTTCTTCCAGGTCCTGGGCCACGGCGTGCCTACGGAAGTGCTCGAGGAAATGCTCGCCGGAATCCGCCGCTTCAACGAGCTCCACGCTGCGGAGAAGGCCGCCTTCTACTCCCGAGATCCAGCCAAGAGGGTGAGGTTAGACATCACCTACGACCTGTTCCGGACCCGCCGGGCCAACTGGAGGGACACCCTCTTCTGCGCCCCGGCAGATCCTGCTCTCCCACTACTACCCGTGATGCGGGATGATTATGAAGGCTTAATAGAGATCAAATAAACGACGGATAAACCAAGTCTGGCTCGAAAATCATCCACGGCCAGGGGAGAGGGGCTAGGACCGGACAATTTAGGCAAACCGCAAGTCGTAGGGTGCTCGCAGTTAACAGAGCAGATCAAAGTTATCATGGGGGAGGGACCACCCAATGCACGGAGTCGTGGCGCTAACCTACACGATCACTCACGGCGACGATGACAATAAAGATATATTAAAAGAGCAGGGAAAAATCAGGCGTCAGAAAACGAGACAGTTATCGGAGGAGAGAAGTTACCAGAGGGACCCCGATCGTCCAAAGGATCGATTGTTGGCCAAACGAGATAATGCTGGTCCAGCGGCGGGCTCCGTAGTCGGAGCGTCAGGGCGGGCGGCAGGCGAACCAGAGCGACGGAAGCCGGGGCGTCGGGCGTTAGGGCAGGAGGGCAAAGAGGGGGGTTGTGGAAGACAGAAGGAGATTCGTCGGCGGCAGTGAGGGCGGAGTCCTAGGGGACGGGCAGTGGTGGAGCGGTGACGGCGGTAGAGGAGAGCGGTGTCGAAGGGGGCGACCCGATGATAGGGTGGCGACAGTGGCTGGTGGAAGGCTGATGGTGAGGATGGAGGGAAAAAGGTGGCTGTGGGGGTAGAGGGAGCGGTCGGCGGAGGGCGGCGGAAGGTCGACGGTGGCGGATGGAAAGGCGGGCCGACGAAAGGGACGACAAATAATGGCGGTGGAAGGAAACCAAACCTTACCGGGGCGACGGGGTCCTCACTATTGAAGCAACTCAAGATATAAACGGATCAGTTTTCCTAAAGACAAAATAAGGAAAGAATTCTGAACCGGTACAACTGCCGGCTCATCTCAGCTAATTAGAGGACACTAACGTTATCAGTAACGGCATTTATTAATAGACGATTATTCAAGAAAGACGTCCGTTATGTGTTCTACAGAGTGTCAAATTAGAACTATTCTGTAGAATATATAAACCACAGAACTCCTTGTATTTCTAAGCTTTTGAATGTACGATAGATGAGGGCTTGCCAGTTCTCTCTATCTTTGTCTATTCTCTCTATCTCTTCTTCTGTATGGTATCAGAGCCATCAGCCACATGGCAATAAGATTCATGCTCAATCTCTTCAAAAGCATGACAGATGGAGCTGTCACAATACATTAGGTTACTATGGCAAACTTAAATCTCGTAGGTTTGATGATTTCTCTCAAACTATCTAGGAAGAATTTTCTACTGTGGAAAATGCAGTTGTTACCCATCTTTACTGCTTATGATCTAGTTGATATTTAAGAACAAGATTCATTGATGATCTGCTCAATTGATGAAAATGGAAATAGTCAGTCCAATCCATAATACAAAAGATGGCAGAAAAATGATCAAATTGTTCTGTCGATTATTAGCTTTTCTCTATCAGAAGCAATCTTACCAATCATAGTTGGCAAATGGACTGGTAAGGAAGCATGGAATGCAATAAATAAAAAAAATTCAGGAAGATCAAGATCTCGACTGATGGAATTACAAACTCAACTTCACAAATTGTATAAAGGAAATATGGCTTTGGGCACCTACATCCAAAGTATTCAAACCATAGGAGATGAACTAATGGCTAGTGGTCATCCTATTGATGAACATAATCTTACTTTCTCATTGTTAAGAGGATTAGGACAGAATTACAATGTCTTTTTTGCTAGCATGAGCTCTTAGCTTGATCATCTCACGTTTGATGATATCGTAGCAAATCTGAGAACATATGATTCTCATCTAAATCGTCAAATTGAATTTCAAGAATCATCAGAATTTCCTCCTCCCTCTGCAAATTATTCACAAATTTCAGTCAATGATCAAGGATATGGAAGAGGAGGTAGGTCCAACCGAGGTAGAGGCAGAAATCAACAAAGTCGACTTCCACGCTATCAACTGTGTTTTAAATATGGACATTGTGTGATTAACTGCTATGAACGGTTCAATAAAGATTTTCAGTAGCCCAACTTCAAGGAGTATTGTCAATTCACAACAGAACAGTCAACAAACATACTCAAGAATCTTACCACCTCAAGTCAATATTGCCAACCTCACTACGAGCCCATCTCAGGCAGCCTCACAAGAATGATATCCAGATAGTGGTGCATCTCACCATGTCACTCCACACATTGCCAACATTCAAAATCCCACAATCTACATGGGACCAGATCAACTATATGTGGGAAATGGACAAGGTTTGACTATTTCATCTACTGGTAATTCATTTTTAAATTCTGCAAAAAAATTATTTAAATTAAATGATATTTTCACGTCCCATTCATTACCAAGAATTTATTATTTATTCACTAATTCACATGTGATAACAATGTGTTTGTGGAATTTCACCCTTATTTTTTATTTGGTGAAGGAAATCATGACGGGGGAGGTCCTCCTGAAAGGACAGCATAAAGATGGTCTCTATCTTTTGCAAAATTCTCAGAATTTTTCTGCTTTCTTAGGAGAGAGAACTTCATCAAACACTTGGCATAATCGACTTGGCCATCCCCATTTTAGAACTCTTCAGCATGTCATAAATAAATATGGCCTTCCTCTCACTCATAAACTCTCTCATTTTATATGTGATGTATGTTGTCTGTCAAAATCACATAACTTATCCTTTAAAATCTCATTACATAAATCATCTAAAGCTTTAGAACTAATTCATTCCGATGTCTGGGGGCTTGCACCGGTGATCTCTCATTTTGGTTTTACCTATTATGTGATATTTGTGGATGATTCCAGCAAATATACGTGGCTATTCCGTATGAAAAATAAAAGTGATGTCTTGTCGATATTCTCTAAATTTCACGTTACGGCAGAACGACAATTTTCTGAAAAAATTCTCTCCTTCCAATCAGACTGGGGGGGTGAATTTCAATCTCTAGAAAAATATTTAAAAACTCATGGAATTCATCACCGCGTGTCATTACTGCATAATGCTTCTATGCCAAATAAATTATGGGATGAAGCCGTCTCCACAGCCACGTTTCTTATAAATCGCATGACATCACCTATCTTAAAACATAAATCACCTTACTAACTATTATTTAATAAAACTCCTGATTTTCCTATCTTAAAAATCTTTAGTTGCTTATGTTTTCCTAATTTACGAGCTTATGCATCTAACAAACTTAATTCTTGATCTGAAAGATGTGTTTTCTTTGGTTACAGTTCAATCCACATAGGTTATAGGTGTTTTTCGCTGGTTTCTGGAAAAAAATTTATATCTCTTGATGTTTTATTTGATGAAACAAATTTTCCTTATGCTCATCCTGAATTTTTAGAGAAGAATTTATCTAATAGTGATAAATCTTTTCCCAGGCATCTTAGGACCCTCTCCTGCCGTCTTGTCCCCTTAAACTCACATTATTCACACAACTCGTTGGCTACCTCCCACAGTAACTCTTCTCACGATTCTTCCATCATCTCTCCTAATAATTCAGCTCCTTATATTTCTGCTAGACATACCAATCATACTAATATGATATTTCAAAATTCGGATACCAGTCATGGTATTTCACCATCGCATCATTTCAAAAACAGTCCCAGCCAACCGATGTCTCAAGATTCCATTAGTCTAGACATCCACTCTCCCTCTCTCACTCCACCAATAAAAGAAAAATCGCTCGCTGAAATCTAAGCTCAAACCCAACCTATCTCTCTAATTACCACTAAACATCCTCTTCCAATGTGTCTTCCTACTTCATCTAGTCTTCCTACTGAACCTACATGTGACACTATAGCATCAAAAGATCCTAACTGGAACAAAGCAATGAATTCAGAATTTAATGCACTTCTTCAAAATCAAACTTGATCTCTCGTTCTTCGAACTGCAGACATGCATATTATAGGTTGTCGCTAGATATTTAAATTAAAACTCAAACATGATGGTTCTATGATCGCTATAAAGTGAGATTATTTGTCAAGGGATACACTCAAGAGAAGGGATTAGATTATCATGGAACATTTAGTCCTATTATTAAAACTACTATTGTTTGCATTCTATTTTCTCGAGCAATCAGTCATAATTGGCATATTCACCAATTGAATGTCTCGAATGCTTTCTTACATGGTGATCTTTCTGAAACAATTTATATGAATCAACCCCCTGATTTTAGTCATCCTAATTATCCTGATTACGTGTGTAAACTTCAAAAATCATTATATGGGCTAAAACAAGCCCATCGCAAATGGTTTAAGAAACTCTCTAATTTTCTAACTCCTCTTGGATTTACTGGTTTAAATTGACTCCTCATTATTTTTCAAATATATAAACTCCATCCCATATTTCTTGCTTTTATATGTTGATGACATCTTATTAATTAGCCATGATTCTTCTTAAATTCATAATATTATCCGTTCTTTAAATTTCAAATTTTCTATGCGTGATTTAGGACCTGCCCATTTCTTTTTAGGTATAGAATTATAGTTGTTTTTTATCATAATCAAAATATATCACATCTATCTTAAGAAAAACTAAAATGGAAAATACCAAACCCGTGTCAAACTCTTGCACCTTTTCTACGATCAAAAACTCTCCAACAGAACCTGTTGATGTGTCACTATACTGAAGCACGGTGGGGGTTCTCCAATATCTTACTATCACCCGACCAGACATCTCATTTGCACTGAACAGGGCTTGTCAAATGATGCATAACCCAACACAAGAAGGTTGGATTAAAGTCAAGCACCTTCTTCGGTATTTCAAGGGCACAGTTATGAAAGGTCTTCAATTTCATAAATCCTCTGATTTTTCACTCTCCATATTTAGCAACGTTGTTTGGGCAGGCTCACCCATTGATCGGCGATCAACTAGTGGATTTTTAATATTTCTTGGTAAAAATCTCATTTCATGGAGCTGAAGAAAGAACCAACTATTGCTAGGTCAAGTACTAAAGCAGAATACAAGTCTTTTGCCAATGACACTGCTGAATTCATTTGGATCAAATCTCTTCTTCATCAACTTCAATTTAAATTGATCTCTACTCCTATTTTATGATGCGATAATCTTGGAGCTACGGCAAACCCTGTGTTTCATGCACGCATGAAACATATTGAAATCGATTATCATTTCGTGCGTGAACAAGTCAACTCAGGTCGACTAAAAATTGGTTTTCTCTCCACAAAGGATCAACTTGCTGATATTCTTACAAAAGCCTTACCCAAGCACAGGTTTCTCTTTCTGAAATCCAAGCTGAATGTTCTCCCAACCCTCACCTTGTAGGGGTGTATTGAAGCAGCTCAAGATCAAGAAGAGGACTTTCGTCAAACAGTTTCACACACAGACTTATACGACAGTTCACGACAGATATAAATGGACCAGTTTTCCTAAAGAGAAAATAAAGAAAAAATTCTGAACCGGCACAATCGCCGGCTCATCTCAGTCAATTAAAGGACACTAACATTATTAGTAATGGGCGTTTATTAATGGACGGTCATTCAAGAAAGACGCCCGTCGACGGATTGCCAATATATAAACCATAGAACTCCTTGTAGTTCTAAGCTTTTGAATATATATACCATAGAACTCCTTTCTCTCTATCTCTATCTATCTTCTCTCTTGAAAGACTCTTCTTCTCTCTCTTTGTCTCTTCTTCCTTACTCACGACCAACCCTACCGAGGCTACGGGGACGAGACAGGTCCCTTTTAAAAGGTCTTAAAAGACGAAGCACACGTGTCACAACGATTATATTAAACCAAATAAATTGTAGTCAAAATATTATTTGTCGCCCAAGTGATACGTGCGTACGCTGCGACCCACGGAAACTGTCAGTACATCGCCCCGGTTTTGACGACGGCGTACTCTTATCAATAGTGACGGCGGACTTTCCGACGACTTACTCTGTGGGGAGGAGCCAGACATCGGCCCGGTCGTCGTATTTTTTTCCCACATAAATCCTGGATCAGCTCTGACGGCGGAGGACGCCACCATAAATCCTCTCGTCTAGTTTACGGAGAAGACCAGAAATGGCTGCTCCTTCCGCGGATCATACCAATGATGAAAGGTTGGCAGAGCTGAAGGCCTTCGACGAGACGAAGGCGGGGGTCAAGGGGCTTGTCGATGCCGGAATCAAGACCATCCCACGCATCTTCCTCCTTCCAGCCGCGGAGAGAGACGCCAACGAGGGGGCTCCCGACCCGCCGGCACTGCCGCTCCTCGAGCTCCCCGTCGTCGACATTTCCGCCGTCGTGGGCGGCGGGCATGGCGATCTGCGCCGGAAAGCGGTGGAGCAGATCGGACTGGCCTCCGAAACCTGGGGCTTCTTCCAGGTCCTGGGCCACGGCGTGCCTACGGAAGTGCTCGAGGAAATGCTCGCCGGAATCCGCCGCTTCAACGAGCTTGGCGCTGCGGAGAAGGCCGCCTTCTATACCCGAGATCCAGCCAGGAGGGTGAGGTTCAACAGCACCTTCGACCTGTTCCGGACCCGCAGGGCCAACTGGAGGGACTCCTTCGGTTGCATCGTAGCCCCGGTCCCCGTCTCACTGGAGGAAATCCCGGTGACCTGCAGGGAGATTATCCTCAAGTACTCCAGCCACATAGCGAAGCTGGGGGAGACCCTCCTGGAGCTCCTCTCCGAGGCCCTCGGTCTCCGACCCTCCCATCTAAAGGACTTGGGGTGCAACAGAGGGCAGATGTTGATCTCTCACTACTACCCGCCATGCCCCCAGCCGGAGCTCACTCTCGGCACGAGCCCCCATTCCGACTCTGGGTTTCTCACCGTCCTCCTCCAGGACGACATCGGCGGCCTCCAGGTGCGCCACCAGGCCCGGTGGGTAGATGTGCCGCCGGTTCCAGGAGCTCTGGTTATCAACGTCGGCGATCTAATTCAGGTATACTCGCCGCATCCCTAATTTCCTATCCGATCACGCTGACAATCACCGTCGATGCTTCTTTTCCAGCTTATCACCAATGACAGGTTCCAGAGCGTGGAGCACAGGGTTCTGGCGAGCCGGCGAGGCCCGAGGATCTCGGTGGCCACCTTCTTCACCACCAACGACGACTCCAGTAGCACGACGGTTTACGGCCCAATCAAGGAGCTGCTCTCGGAGGATAATCCCCCAATTTATCGAGAAACTTTGGTCTGCGATTACGCCGAACACTTCAATAGAAAAGGCCTCGCGGGAAAAATGGCCCTCTCTGATTTCAAGCGCATTCCAAATACGTCAATAGAAGTGTACAAGGAATCATAAATGTCCCTCTCAATTATGAGACAAAGTGGTGGGAAAAGTTTAAAGGCTGGAGTTAATAATCATTGTAATAGCTATTCGTGAGATGCAACTAGTTCGTGATACATCAACACTTTCATCTTTTATGCATTTTTTCTTTCAGTGTTACCACTTAATGTGTGACAATGTTTTCTGAATCAAAACTTACCAGTTGATTAAAGTGCTATATTTATTGTTGTACTCCAAGTGGCGGCATGATATCAATAAAGAGGGAGTTCATTATTGTTTGTTCTGTCTTTCAATCCTATTTTCACATAATTATATGTGTATTAATTAATTTTATAATTATTTGGTCTTTTCAACCTACGTTCAATTTCCAGCTATCCCGTCCTTAGTGAGAATACATTAGATTTCATAGGTCTAACCGACTCTAGATTTCTCAAATCCCCTTTAACGTTCTATGGCTGTACGTGGGCAAAACGAGAGAAACTCCACAGCTTCAGGCGGCCAAACCGGGAAAGCTCTCCATGTCTATCTTCTTAGATTTCAAGTTCTAAGGAAATATTATCAGCCACAATTTAATTTAAATAAGATGGAAGGCGATTACCCAATGATGAATATTTATTTTCATGTTTTATCAGCCGCCGCGTGGATGATCGAATTCTTCTTTTTCTTCACCTTATTCTTCTTCCTCTTCTCTCTGTTGAGAGGATCAGGAGCAGCGGCGTGGATGATCTATTTATTCTTCTAATTCTCGTTCTACTTCTTCATATCCCCTTCTCGTTCTCATCTTCTTCTTCTTCTTTCCATAGAGATCAAAGGTGAACCGCGTGGATGATCTTTTCTTTCTCCGTCTTCTTCTACTCTCTTCCGCGTGGAGATCAGACATCTTTGTCTTCTTCTTTTCGGCAATAATCAAAGATATTTTCCGTCGTCGTTATCCTCCTCTTCTTCTGATGATCTTTGTCCGTGCGTTCTTCTGTCCCCATCGTTTTCTTCCTGTCCGTCCTTCTTCTCCCTCCGTCGATCTGCTCATATTCCCGGCGCAGATCCGAGAACCTCTTCGTCGTCGTTCTGTTACTGTTTCCGGCGAATATCCGCGTTTTTCCGGTTAATATCCTTCGTATTCTTCGTTTTTCGGGCTAAGATGCGTGATATCTTTCGTCCTCGGACTCCTATTTCCGCTAAAGTTCAGCAACATTCTCGTAATCGAAATATCTCGTGTTTCCAGCGAAGGACAGCAGCGTTCTCGTCGTCGAAATATCTAACTTTTCCAGCGAAGAACAGGGTGATTTTCCGTCCTTAAACTCCTCGTTTCTCCTTTGATTTCACGAACTGTAGAGAGTGGGTGGATGACTCATCGAAAAACCTAATATTCCTGGTGAGAATCGCGCGTTCGTTTTTTCCACGTTGTTTGTCCTCATTCATCCGTTGTCTTCTGTCGCCATTTTTCTTCCGTTTCGTCCTCGTTTTCAACATCTCTTTTCCTTGTTCGTCCGTCACGTGAGAGAGAGTTATTTATTTCGGGCGAATCTTTCTATTTTCGGATCTACACATTGGGCCGAGAGTCGGGTTTGTTTTTTATATAGGTTTAATGGACCCTTTAGCTTGCACCCAATATGCCTTATATTAAGGCACAATAATCAAATAAATTCAATTAAATTCAGACCAAATAACCAAATCAATTTCAACTTAAATTAAGGCCCAGTAATTACATCAATTACACATCTATTAAACTGAAATGAATTAAGAAAAAGTGAAAAAATATGTCACACTATTAGTCAATAGGAAATAGATAAATCTAGATGCCCAAATTATTATATTATCTAAAAATTAATTAGAAATATTTATGATCTTCGTATTAATAAATTATTCAAACCAATACTTCAAATGACTAAAATACCCCCATTTTGTTGTGCTTATGATCAATATGCATATGACATCTAAACCATCACTTGCAATGTAAAATTACTATTTTTGTCTTAATATTGCATATTGGTCATTAAGAGTATTTAGAATCTACGTATCAAGTGAGTCAACTCACTTATTTTTTGTGGTCTTTTGGTTACTATGAGTGTTAACACTCTTTTAGCCCAATGAGATGCCTCATTTCCAGCATTACTAAATGCTAAACTTTGTCTGGGGTTAAAATGAGTTTTTGTTGATCAATTAAAGATCACATGGTAGTACTAAAATTTATTATTATCTTTTCTTACCAAGTGAGTCAACTCCTATCTTGAAAGCAAAAAAGGATACATAGAAGCTCTTATAGTTTTGGAATCACTTGGGACTTTATAAAAGAGCATGAAAATATTTTATTAGTAATTTGATATGTTCTGCACAGAATTTACCAACACAAAATTACCAATTTACCCTAATGTATACTTTATTAACATCAGAAGTAGGAGGGCTCTAAACCCCAACACTTTTTTGGCAACTCTTTATTTATGACATGCTCCATCAAGTCCATCCACCACATGGTGTTTGGTGGATAAGGGTTCAGGTTTTTAGTGGCCACCCTCTTTATCATCCATGTTGATGTAAACTTTGTGAGGGTTCATATCCCTATAAAGGAGCCACTATCAAAGGATGATTCCCTTTGAGTCTTAAGAAACTAGAAATGATTGTATGTCAAGGGACTCCTTAGAAAATAAAACCTTCCTTATTTCAAGTTATAGTAGCAAAATTGATCTTCTCACTCAAATTATGGTCTCCAATACTTCTTCTATATCATACATTTGCATTAGAAAAGAAGTTTTAAACAATGAATTCCATGACTTCATAATCATCATTATTTATTAGTTTTAGAGTTTTGTGGTTCAATTTTGATCCCTATTATTGCTCTCAAGTTTGGCCCTAACATTAAATTTTTGATGTTTGTATAAATATGATAACTTTTCACATTTTAATGATAGAACTTTTACATATAATTTTTCAAATAAAAAAATAAATATTAATTTAGGAATAAAATGAAAAAATACATGATATGAACTCTAAAGTAATAAATTTGGGAAAATATCATGAATGGCATAAAATAATCTTTGATAGGTGAACTTGAGTGGAACTATAACTCTAGTTCAATGAAATATCACCGAATGTATAGTTATATATATAGTTATAAGTTCAAGTTGTAAATTATCACGAAGTGTAATGATGCAAAACTCTTTAATAACTTTTACCTCTACCACACCCACTTTGTTAATTAAATGACCTAGAGAGACTCCCTCTTTTACACCATAGCATTGGCTCATGCTGTCAAATAAACTCCTCTATAATATTTAATGAAACCATCTATGATTTGCTCATGAAGGCCTTAGGACTGTTATCGACTATCTCATAGGCATGGACTAGAGCAAAGGTAATTTTCTATTGTATCAAAACTAACCTTATTGGTAAGAGTTGAAGCTCTCCCACACCCTTGTTAAACTAACCATCAAAACTTTCATTAAATGACCAAAATGTTAGGTTGCAAGTTATTTATGAGGACTGGTTGGTGGATATGCCACTAGCAATTGAAGCTTGGTGATGAACTTTAGATACTTAGTGTAATTAAACTATGCCTCAGTTTTGGTCTTCTAAGACTCCTTATAAGGATCTCCTCATAAGCAGATGATCACCAATGACAAGTTTAAAATATAAAGCACAGGGTTTTGGCCACTAACAACTACCACAAACATTCAAGATATAGCATACCTATGATGGTGTCTATATTTTGGTATACCTCAAAATTGAATGGGCATGCTTAGTGTCCAATCATTATATTTTATTATATAATTATGACATTTTTTTTTCCTAATGTTTGGATTTATGACAAGCTTCTTTATTATGGCAGTGGACAAGCATAAGTTTTCTTTATTTTAGTTCTCAATTTACACAAAATGACCCAATTGGAATTATATGAGTATGTAGCTTTTTAAAATAAGCATTCTCTCAATAATTTCGATCTTTTGTTCAATGTTTGAAACATTTGAGAAGTGAAATTAATTAATTCAATTTGTTGGCATTGACTCTTAAAAACATTTCAGTGCCTTCTTTTTAGAAGTGGCACTCATTAGTCTTAAAAGCAATAGAGATAAGCTTAAAGTGAGATCCCTTAATATTTCACTATCTTTATAATCATTAATTTAATTTTTAAAGTAATTAATATGGAAAATTCATTAACATGGTCCAGAATGTATAAACTGATTATTTTATGCTGGCAATACACATATGGTAAACGAATTAGAAAAACAAACACAAGCTCTATTATCATTTTAATGCCATTAAGTGTTCCAACGCATAACTGATTATGAATTAATGACTTATATTTATATTTATTATCATAGATAAGTAAAAAAATCTGACTTTTCTTAAAATATATTCGTATCATGGCATTATCACGATACATGATCCATCTCTTGTGTGCCCTTGCGAGCCCTTGGGGGAGCATTAACAAATTCTCCTCGTCTGAAGGCTGGCCGCACCTAATAGAAGGTCCATCTCTTGATTGCAAGATCAACATTGGAAAATCTATGCCTTCGAATGAAATCGCTGCATACTATTCTTAGTTAGGACAGCTGGTCCATTTTGTGTGTACTCTACTAGATATGTCACTTTGTTTAGCATAGCTTATGAGTGATTGAACCCCTAATTGAGCGAAAGAGTGAAAGTGTTAAAAGACAACCCTTCTGTCTTACTGGGCCTCTCTCTACCTCTCGGACCTGCAATCCGGCTGGTCTCTCTGAGGAGAAGCGAGAACGATGAGAGAGACCAAGGGGACCCATCCCCTTGTAGTCACCGTTACCTTCCCTTCCCCCCTAACCTCCCCTTAAGCCCTCGTCCGCCGTCCCCTCCGCCCTCGTCTCCATGAAGAGGTTCTCGTCCTCTCTTATCTCCAACCTCGGTAGAACCCGCCGCAGTGTCGGCGCCGTCCTTTCCTCCGCCCCCGAGAGTCCCACCCCGCCGCTCCCGGGGTCCCCGCGCCGCCGCCCACCTGCCCCCTTTCTCCTTTTTGGTAAGATCCGAGCGCCGGATGGGCTGCTTCCGGGTGATCGCCGCCGGCAGCTTAGGAACCTCGAAACCCTACCAGAAAGGGCCCCTGTGGCTGCCCTGTCCCCCAGACAGCAGAAGATCAAGGAGAAGGCCGACCTGGAGGAGGCCTTCGAGGCCGCGACGACCACTGAGGACATCTTGGTCGCCTTCGCCGCCTTGGAGTCTTCCCTCGGGGAGTACGACAAGAAGCTCGGCTTGGCCTGCTTGAAAGTTGGGCAGCATCTGGATTTCATCGGCTTCGAGGAGAACGAGAAGATTTTGGTATTCGCTCAGCGGGCGCTGGCTATACTCGACAGAGATGACGATGGATCCATCTCGGTGGTCATGGCGCTCCACTTGATGGGCTCTGCTACCTATAACCTCAAGAAGTACAACGACAGCTTGGGATACCTGAATCGGGCGAGTCGTCTTCTTCGTAAGCTAGAAGATGAGGTCGCCGGCGACTTCAACTTATTGCCCGTCAGTCATGCCGTCCAGCTCCAGCTGGCCAACACAAAGACTGCGATAGGGCGGAGGGAGGAGGCGCTGGATAACCTCAGAAAGTGCTTGGAGATGAAAGAGGTAATCTTGGAGCCGAATAGCAGGGAGTTGGGGGTAGCCAACCGCGACCTGGCAGAGGCCTATGTCGCAGTTTTGAATTTCAAGGAAGCGCTGCCCCTCTGCCAGAAGGCCCTCGAGATCCACAGGAACGAGCTGGGGGAGAACTCGGTGGAGGTTGCCCATGACCGGAGACTCCTCGGCGTCATCTACACTGGACTTGAGGAGCACCAGAAGGCGTTGGAGCAGAATGAGCTCTCGCGGACGGTACTGAGGAGATGGGGCATGGACTCAGAGCTTCTCCATGCGGAGATCGACGCAGCCAACATCCAGATTGCGATGGGGAAATTCGAGGAAGCGATCGCCTCTCTCAGGGACGTGATTCGGCAGACCGACAGCGACAGCGAGACGCGGGCGACGGTGTTCGTCTCCATGGCGAAGGCCCTCTGCAACCAGGAAAAGTTCGGAGACTCCAAGCGGTGCCTGCAGATATCCTGTGGGATCCTTGAGAAGAAGGAACTGATCTCCCCCGTGAAGGTTGCAGAGGCGTACGCAGAGATCTCCATGCTCTACGAGACCATGAACGAGTTCGAGGCCGCCATATCTCTGCTCAAGAAGACGGTCTCAATCCTCGAGAAGCACCCACAAGAGCAGCACGCCGAAGGGAGCGCCTCTGCAAGGATAGGATGGCTGCTCCTCCTGACCGGGAAGGTGCCCCAAGCTCTCCCATACCTGGAAGACGCAGCTGAGAGGCTGAAGGAAAGCTTCGGGCCGAAGCATTTCGGAGTGGGATACATCTACAACAACTTGGGAGCGGCGTACATGGAGCTGGACAGGCCACAGTCGGCGGCGCAGATGTTTGCTCTGGCGAAGGACATAATGGATGCCTCTCTGGGGCCTCACCATGCAGACTCCATTGAGGCCTGCCAAAACCTCGCGAATGCTTATGGCGCCATGGGAAGGTAAAAAGCTCTAACATTTCCGATCAGCCATATATTTCGATGCGAATACCAATGAATGGATCCGACCCCTCCAAAAAAAAGTAGCTTCACTTTCAGAATGACAGGCAGAAAATAATTTTCTTGTTGAATTTTCCACGTCGGTTATCCGCAAGAACAAGTAACTAATAGACCAGGTGATTCCCCTTTGTGCTAGGCAGAGGAAAAACTAATTTAAATACTAATTATAGGGATAAGACCCTGGAATAAATTTCTTCTTTCTTTTTTTTTCAGAATGACACCCAAAAAGAAGAGGTTTTTGGAATTTCTCCCTATCTAGTCTTCCACAAGAACAAGTGATTAATAGACCGGGTGATTCCCCTTAGGGACAGGCAGAGAAATTAATCTAAATGGGTCAGAAATATACGTAACTTATCATTTCTTCCGATTGTCAGATATCATCATCTCATCCAGGTTACCCTCTCGCTTTTGCACTGTTCTCTCCATTATTTTTATGCTCACTGAAGATCATCACCGTGGACTTGGACTATATCCGCAAACAGGTGTTTCTTTTCTATTTTGCTGACTCTTTTCTCCGCCTGTAGCTTCATTCTTGCCATGGAATTCCAGCAGAAGGTGATCGATGCCTGGGAGAACCATGGCCTGGACGCCAAGGACGAGATAAGAGAAGCCCATCGTCTTCTTGAGCAATTGAAGAAGAAGGCTCGTGGGTCTCCCCCTACCTCTTTTCCAGGGAAGGCTCTGTCACTGCCTCCAGGTAAATAACAGTGGGGCCTCGCCATCAAGAGCCATAGTTTCTTCAACTGGAGCCGGGCGAGCAATTCAATGGGTTTATTTGCCGTTCAGAGACCGTAAAACCCTTGATATCCATGAAGGCCCAGCGATCTCAAATCTCTGAGAGAAAGTGCTGAGAACAGGGCGAATTGTTGTCTGAATTCCAAAAGTAGAAAGCAAAAGTGCTCGCTGAACTCTAATGTTATAGCCATTTTTGGAAGAAAATATGCTTCCCTCAATCTTCCGAATTGCTGTCTGATTCTAGATGGGTTGGCAGAAGTCATTCAGACAATCTCATCCACGTTACAGCTGACGTGATCCTCCCATTCCATCTCATGTTCAAGTCAACGACTTGCAGACACTGCCCTTTGAAGGCTTTGACTTGCACGTGACGATGCTTGTTTGATAGTTTCATTTACTCAGGACCAGAGGTGATAGCCGGAAGTTGATGATGCATTATCTCAGAATGCATTATCCTGGAATGACTTCTCCCGCGGCCTCGTCGTTGTTGACTTATTATATCACATATATTTGGTAGATTTTAGATTTGGTGCCGGCGGGTGGGGGAGTTGGCGGGCCGGGCCGAGTCGTGAAGCCCCCTTGTTCGGCCCCGGCGGGCCCTCTCAGAGAAGGCCTCCGGGCCGTCGGGACGTTTTTAGAAAAAATGTCTTCTTCTCTGGCGATTAATTAATCATCGGAGAAGGTGATTAATTAAGCTCTTCTGAGTGCTAAGTAGACCCTATCCTCACTTCAGCGCTAAGATAATCCTCTAAATTATATTAATGGCTTGAGACAGCTCACCGGGGCACCACGTGTCGGCCTGAGATTGCCCATGGGTCTGCTTCAAGCTCTCTCTCTCTCTCTCTCTCTCTCTCTCTCTCTCTCTCTCCTCTCTCTCTCTCAGAAGTGGAAGTGAAACGAGGTGAAGAGAGGGAGGAAGAGAAAAGAAGAGGCAATCGACCAGACAAACGAATTCCGAGACTTTACGCATCTATGGACACCGATTGAATAACGCTTCGGGGGCCGCGGCCGAAGGAGAAGATGGACCGCCGGAGCCTGGCGCTGCCGCCGCTGCACCCTGGGCTCGGATCTCCTGGTTGGACAGGCTGAGCTGCCAGTAGCACGAAGAGTCCATAGAGAAGGACCTCCTTATGGGCAAGACGGAGAAGTCTTCGTCCCTATGCCTCCCTCCCACATCGATGCACTCGTCCCCCATGCTCGCTCCCTGGTGGAGCTTCCGGCCCTTCTCCTGTAGAGACCTCTGCGGCTCCGTCTTCCTCGGTGAAGTTTGCAGCTGGCCGCCGTCGTCTCCTACCTCCAGCACCACGCTGTGGGGTGATATCGACTCTACACCGGTGATCTCCGACCGGCAAACGGGGCAATTGACGCTGCTCTGCAACCAGATGTCGATGCAGTCGATGTGGAAGTGGTGGGAGCAGGCCGGTAGCCGCCGGAGGACCTCCCCGTCTTGGAACTCGCTGAGGCAGACAGCACAGTCGCGGAGGAGTCCCTCCTTCTCGCCGCCGGTGCCGGTGCAGGGCTTCCCGAAGCGGACGATGGGGATGGCCCGGATCATCATCTCCTCGAGACCCCGTCGCTCGCACGCGGCGGAGAGTTCGTCGTGGCGCCATAGTAACTGCCGGGTTCGCAAGTCGGAGAGGCGGCCGATCTCGTCGGAGCGCCGCCAGTTCAGGCAACACTTGACGACGATAACGTAATAGCTGACCAGGAGCATGGCGGTGGTGAGGATCCCGAGCACTGAGACGACCAAGATGGGGAAGCTGGTGTCTGGGAGAATTGGAGGCTGCGGCGGCGGTGGGTAGGAGATGGCCGGGGTCTGCGTCCCCCGCGGAGGAGAAAGAGCACCTAGGTCCGCCATGAGAGACGAGAGATACGGCCGCCTGAGAGAGAAAGAGAAGAAACGGGAATAGGGCGCCCTGGAATCTCAACCGGCAGTGGCCAAGAAGAGAGATATGGAGCTCGGAATCAGGGGGGACTCCGATTAAACGTGCGAAGAGGGAGAAAGGGAAGAGAATAGAATCTGTGGAAGCATGAGAGGAGACCAGTTCTCGAGAAACTCAACGACCACATGAAATTCCCGGAAAACAGGCTACCCCTGACAGTGAACAGTCGGGACCTAACAGACAAGCAGTAGCAAAATAAGAAGAAGAAGATGGTGACGATGATGATGATGATGAAGAAGAAGCTTGTGCGAAGTAAGAGCCTGACGCAGACCGGAGGAGGGAATCCTACGAGAGAGGCAACAAGATCTTAGAGGGAAGAGAAAAGGAGAGACAGAGGGGGGGGATATACCGGGCTGGTGAAGCCTTGCAACAGCGGGGTCGACGTTGACCAAGAAAGTAGGACACCGAGAGGAAATAAAACGTTCCTTTCATCAATGGAAACGCCACCACCGCCGTTACCGAAAAGTCGCCGGAGCTGCCTGCGGTAAGTTGGTATTCGGCGCCCTGTTCCCATCCGAGGAGCTGGCCGTAGTCTTCACGGCCCAGCAAAAACAACAATTAATTCAACTTATGGAGTTTTTCTCATTTTTCGATAGCGCCTCCTTCTCCACCTCCCGGTCACGTCAAACCTCGCTTTTAAGGATATTTTCCTTTTTTTTTAAAATCAGAAAGTCCTTTATATTGTGATTTTCGTGGACCGCGAGATAAACTCGCGTGATTCTGAATCATCTAATCGAAGAAAAGATATTTCCTTCTGTGATGTTGAAGACAAGCAGTCCTTCTTACGTGAAGCGCCTCCGTTGACCCGCACCCTGAAGATGAGATAGTCTATCCACCCCATATACCCCGGCCCCCACTCCCCAACCATGTGGGCTTTGACTTTCAGAAGGCCATTTCATACACATACGATGGGTAATGAAAACTTAGCAAAAATGTGACATATGATGATTAATTAGCAGCGGATGGCTTGATTTTAATAGACCTGAGATTTTATGTCGTTGGCCAAGAAAAATCTAACCTCCTGAGCTATCAGTCACGCCTAAAAGATTCCGTTTTTGAACAAGGCACCCTCATCCGGACGATGGGAGTCAATGAATGTGGCCCCCACTCTTGTTACTCCCACCCCAGGAAGGAGCCTCGGGGGGCACACGTCGCCATCAGCCGGCATGGCATTGAAGAGGGAGGTAAAATCAAGGAAATGGCGGCCCCCACTCGCCACTTAAGGTCAATGAAGCTGTGTTGTGACACGGGAATATAGAGGCCAGTTGAGAGTCAACGGCCCGGTCGTCTAAACCTGATGAAGCCGATCAGACTAGGCCGTGTCCGAACTACGCCGGATCAGATAAGCTGGACCCAGGCTGGCTGGGGGGGCGCTGTCCGATCCGATCCGGGCCGAGTCAAGATCTAGTCTGGCTTAATAAAACCGATTTATATAAAATTGAAAAGCATGTTCTATCATCATTAGGAACGGGGTAAATATCACTCGAATTAAAAGAAGCTCACAGCTTTACGCTTCCCCGAGATCGGATTGGGGACGGCGGGCCTGACCAAATCAGATAATTGTGCGGGATGCGCGCGTTGACTTCACAACTAGCTTGTAGAACGAGACCTTTCAATGGGCCATCTTCTGACGATCTGAGAAGTCAACGGACGCGTGATTAAGCTCCGGGGGGCCGGGGAGTTTCTTTCTACGGTCTTATTTATATGACGTAAGATCTTTTTATTGATGTAATTAGGGGCGTCAATGAGTCAAATCATATTCAATGGAACGCTTTATTGGGCTACGTTTGGATTAAAATGATTAATGGGCTTTATCCCGGCCCAAGTTTTATAACTATTGGTTCAGGCCCAATAGTGGTATGGCCGATGGTTCTGAGCTCTAATGTTCAGAATCTCACCAAAGGACCGTTAAGGTTCATTAATGAATGTTATCTGGTTGGCCCAATGGGCCACTTGACCGCAGACCCGTCCCTGACTCAGCGTCCTAGCTGGCATGTAAATATCTCGAAACTAGCCAATGAGGATTGTCCACGCCAGGGCATTGCATATGCGTCGCGGTCAACTCTTCACAAAGTCCTGGTACGAAGAAAAGCGCCGATCCATCAACCAATCAGCATCGCTGACACGCGTCATGTTCGCGCCACTGGGCTCTGTACGTCGCTGGACACGTCCCAACAAGAGGAGTCATACCCGGAATTCAAATCCAAGTTCGGTCAAATGACGACTTCTCCACTACATATTGGGCATGAGGTCAGCACCCCCATCTTGTAGGCCAAGACCGGCGCACGAGTGGTCTTTCTCGCCGCACTCCGGTGAAAGATCCGCCCTCTCATCGGACTAGCATGAGTAGTCTCTCTCTTCTTACCGCTGACCTGCGCTGTCTGACGTGGACCTTCGTCGAGCCACACGAACCTGGTAGATCCGCGGTGGGGAAGTAGAAGAGAACTTGCCTAGAGTGACAGCGTGGAGTTCCACGTCAAATAATCATTCAGTTGACATGAGAACCATGGACGCGTGTCCGTTCGAATCGGTCAAGCCGTCACCCGTTGGTCACGTATAGGCTACGAAAAAAATGTAAACACCTTGAGAAAATAATCCGCGACCGTAATAATTAATTATAATAAATTAATGGCACGATATAATGAAGAAGGGAGGTCTCAAGCCAGTCTTGACCGAGAGATGTCTTACAGTGGTTCGGTTGAACACGGGTCGAGAACACTAAACCGGTCTCCTTATGAAACTCATATTGCATATGCATTGACGTACTAAGTATGATTATTCAGTTTGACCGAGTAGTGAGAGAAAACTAACCAAAAACAAAAAGCCAGATTACCTCCTCAAGAAATCGGAAACAACCGCAGATTCTAGAACTCGGCACGTCACTTGCTCTGTATAAAATTAGAGAACGACTCTCTCTTGTTCTCTCAATGTAGGTAAATATTCTTTTTTTTTCCCAATATTGGTATTTCGAACTATATGCCAGATATCGATTTCATGAAACGGTCGGTCAATATTGAGGAGAAGAATTGGATCGATCAAAGTTCCGGCTAAAGGTGCAGACAACCGGCGCCGCCGGTCAATCATTCCGCATATCATGGCAAGCGCGCCACGTATACAAGTCGGAGCGTCACAAGGACAAAAGGAAATGGATCTTGGGACCACCGCTGCGCCCCCATTGACTCACGATAGCTTATTCTTTCCTCTCGAGCTCTCGCCACGACCACGTGGCAAGCCTATGGCTACTCTCCGAGAGCGTCTCTGTTGTGACTCTGGCCCTTTCCGTTCCAGTGATTTGGGTATTTATAGGACGAGGGCAGGGCTCAGAGGACAACTTCAGAAGCTCCGGACACCAGCGAGGAGGAGGGTCAATGGATACCAAATTCTTCCAGTCGAGAAGCTACGAACTGTCGCCGGAGTCCCGGGACCAGCTCTTTCACCAGCCCGAGTGCCTGCCCTTTGATGAGAACAGCTCGGAGGAGATGCTGCTGCTCAACGTGCTGGCGGAGGCAAGCGCCGCCGAGGCGCCGAGCTCCAGCCAGAGCAGCAAGGAGGAGGAGGTGCAGTCCTCCGCGAACGACGACGACGGCGGGGCCGCCAAGCCGAGCTGCTACAGAGGGGTCAGGAAGCGCCCGTGGGGGAAGTTCGCGGCGGAGATACGGGACTCCACCCGACACGGTCGGCGGGTGTGGCTCGGCACCTTCGACAGCCCTGAAGCGGCTGCCCTCGCCTACGACCAGGCGGCCTTCGCCACACGGGGGTCCCTGGCGGTACTAAACTTTCCCGTAGAACGCGTGGAGCAGTCGCTACGGAGCGCTGCAAGCGGCAGCGCCGCCGCCGACGGCTGCTCCCCCGTGCTTGCCCTCAAGCGGAGGCACGCCCAGCGGCGGCGCTCCCCCGGTGGGAAGGTGCCCAAGCGAAGCTCGGAGGCCTCCACTGCCGGGAATGTGGTGGAGCTGGAGGACCTGGGGACGGAGTTCCTCGAGGCGCTTCTCATGGCCTCCGAGCCTTCCCGGTCCTGGTGACTCTCTCTCTCTCTCTGTCTCTCCCCTGCGTCTCTCTAACTTCCGGCGAAAGCGGAATGGGCAGAAAAGCAATACAATTTCTTTGGACTGGGAAAACGCCTTTTTATTTTCTCACACGATCTGACACGTCAAGCCTGATCCCAGCTGTCAATCATGGTACGATTGGATGTTCACCCATCTAAGGGGAGCGGAGACGTGTCCCAACAACCAGCTCGCCCAGCGGGACGTGGCAGAGCTGCCGGCGGCGCCGCCTCGATGGGGCCCACGGGTCGATAAAATAAGTTTTCAAAAATAAATAAATAATTATCCTTGGGCCAGAGCCCTGGGCCTCCCGGGCTCCCTCCTTCAGATCCCGATTCGCGTTGAAGCCGCCGCGCCCTAGCGGGTGTCCAATAACGGAAGTTATCCTCAGCAGGGAGGGCCGCGGCAACTGTAGGCTGCAATGCACATCATGACGCCAGACTGGTTGCCTCCATAATGGCGTCATTTGTCCCGCCACGTGTCCTCTCTCTCTCTCTCTCTCTCTCTCTCTCTCTCTCTGTATGCACTTGGCGCCGCCGCAAATCCGGACTTTTCCGCCGACAGCTGTCAAGGATTGCGTTTGAAAGAATCAGTTGATGAACCGGGCCAGATTGCTTTGCCGTAAGCCCCGTGGCCCTAACAATGGGCCTGATATGGCTAGCCCATTAACCTCCTTAGACAAAGACAACGGATAGAGGAGGAAAGCTGCCCGAGTTGGGTCTGCTTATCTTGACCGGGTCCGTTGCTGGCCCATTAATAACTAGGCCCACACTTACTTTGACTGGGTCCATCTTCCACTCTCATTCGAGCATCTCCTGCCATCTCACGTTCCTGTTTGATGTATATCAGTCTCCACGATGGAGTCCTCAGTCAACGTTCCTAGCCATCGACAGTCGTCGGAGAGAGAGTGTGAGCTCGGGAGGTATATCTGATCTTCATCCACTTTAAATGGCTCGCCTTCGCGTCGTCGTTGTTCTTACCGGACCTATTCTTCTTCCTCTGCGTTCGTCCTCCGTCCGCAATGGCCTGTCGCCGCGTGCTTCTTCTGGGCCCCCTTTGCTTCCTCCTCCTCCTGACGCTTCGCCCAACGAGCGCCCTCTCTTCATGCGGGGGCCCTTGCCAAACCCTGAACGACTGCAGTGGCCAGCTCATCTGTATCGGCGGCAAGTGCAACGATGATCCCGACGTCGGCACCCATATCTGCGGCGGCGGAGGAGGTGGAGGAGGCGGCGGTGGTGGAGAGTGCCTCCCGTCGCAACCCCTCGTTTGCGGCAGCAACTCGTATCCCACGTACAGCTGCTCTCCGCCAGTTACCTCCGCTACGAGTGCTATCCTGACCAACAACGACTTCAGCGAAGGCAGTGACGGCGGCGCCGAATCGTCTTGCGACGGTAAGTTTCACGACAACTCTGAGAGCATCGTCGCACTGTCCACCGGCTGGTTCGACGGGCGCAGCCGGTGCAACAAGTGGATCCGCATCACCGCCCCCAACGGCAGGAGCACGACGGCGAAGGTCGTCGACGAATGCGACTCGCTGCACGGCTGCGACGCGGAGCACGCCTTCCAGCCGCCATGCAAGAGCAACATCGTCGACGGTTCGAACGCCGTCTGGAACGCTCTCGGCCTCAACATCGACGACGGCGAGGTGCCGGTCACCTGGACCATGGCCTGAGCGCCGCCATGGTAGTTCTTCTCGCCCGAAGAATAAGAATAGCAATAATCTGGCGGATCCTTCTGAACCCAATAGTGAATAAACAAGCGTATCTATGGCAATGAAACAATGGTTTCTTCTCATCGGTGTTTCCGGTTCACTCCCTACCATGGGGTCCGTGATTCTGCTCCCGCTCCCACCCTTCTTAATTTTTCCAGTGAATTCTTCCCATCTTGAACATACGCCTTAGTTATTAGGACATCATTTATTTTACGATGAATTGACTTCAGCACTTTGAGAATACACTCTTCAAGATCGATCACACATTGATTATGATGGCGGATGACTTAGTTAGCTAACGTAAATCAACCATATATTAATTAATACTAGTAAAAAAAATGAGGCAGTGGCACCGCAAGTGAGAGTCTCCTGAACCAAGTCACATAGGAACTCTCTGAAGAAGTACACTGTGGTAAACACATCACTGCCTACATTGGGAAGGCGAGTACAGCTGGACGGGTTCTGCTCCCTTGTAAAGAAAGTAAAGAGATAGACAAACTCAAGAACACGGTGAATTTTTGTGAGTAATGGTCTAAAGAGAGACGTTGGATTGTTCTCACAAACGCCCAATCCTTGTTGGCGAGAAGCGGTCCTTGGTGAGACTATTTAGCACAAAGGGGGTTGAATGTCCTTTACATGCCCCTTCAAACTACTGAAGTAGTGATCTATCACATTAGGCTGGTTTTTAAGCTATTCAAAGTGGCTTTCTGAGAGTCTTTTAGTGGGAATATTTGTAAGTTGATTTTCTGTGGAGAGGAAGTATACTAGGAGCTACCTTAGGGAGACTCTCTTGCATTGTGAAGGCCCGCGTGAGATCACAAGAGAAGTGTATATAGGAAGTTTATCTCCATTTGCTTTGAGAAGGTCATTGTAGGTATAGGTGAGATTCCAATGTAAAGAAAGTAAAGAGATAGACGACTTCTAGAGGGCGATACATTTCCATGAAAAACAATAAAAAGGAGCCATTAGATAAATCTTTTAGACACCCAATTCTTTTCCGTGAGAAACTTTCAATGATGAGATTATTTCTAGTAGAGATGATTCTTTATGCGCACAGCCAAAGCAATGCGATATATCACATTAAATTTGTCTCTAAACCACTAAAATAGCTCTTGGAAAGTCTTGTTATGATAATATCTACAACTTGATATTTTGTGGAAACAAAGATACAAAGAATGTTTTACATGCTACTTGTTCACAAATGAAGTAGAAGTCAATTTTGTTGTACTTTGTTTGTGCACAATACATTAGATTCAGATTAAATGGGTATTATATTTGATTGGGTGGCTGAACCGAATCATGCCACTTCTCAAGATGATACAACAGGGTTCATCCCATGTTGTAGGCCCATGAAGAAGAAGAGAAAGAGGAGCCAATGGAAGAAGTCCCATCTTCCCATGAGCCCATAAGGGAGGGTTGAGGAGAGTCCCTCTCCAAGAGACGCCACCTCTTCAAGAGGTGCCTCTAACCACCTCTACCGCTTCTCATCTTTCTTCTCCTCTATGTTGTGGCACTCCTTCCCTCCTATCCTCTCTCCTGTGATAATAACCACAACTTCTAGACCTATCATGACCATTTTTTTCATTATTGCTCATAATGATCAGGTGCTTCTTAGAAATAGTACTTTTGCGTTATGATTATCTCATGTGTAATGACATGTCCAAGGACATCTTCTAGAGTGAGTGACTCTATACTTATAATGTTGGAGACGAAAGCCTCATAACTTGGTCTTAATCGAACCAAAATTATAATAATGAGAACATAATTGTCCGCCAGTTTACCAGCCACAATAGAACCATTGGTGATTATTTTGAGAAATTAGACATGCTCTTGATGACATTATGTGGCATGAAGCATATGGGCCTTGGTGCTGGTTTTAACTACCACTTCCTCTTCATCTCTGATGATCATTAATTGCAATTCAAGGAGTTGTATGCATTGATCACATGAAATCTGCAACTAGATAACACGCTCAAACCTATCTAGTAGCTGATTTTTTATTGTGTAAATAACACAGAAGTTAATGCCAATCCATTTGAAATATGAAAAAATCGTGTCTTAGTATTGAGGCAAACCACTAGCCTTCCTTCATCCTTCCTTAATACTTTATGTCTCCAAAGTAAAACTGGGCATGATGATGCTCTTAATTCTGAAGATTATGCTATTTTTTAGGACTGAATTTTGAAGAGGATCAAATAAAAAGTGGGCTTTTAATATCTCTGAAGTCTTCCACTGACTATTAGTGGGGTGATGTGCACCATTATTTTTTATTTCTAAATAGGCATGAAAGGATGAGAAATGGGATGTATGATCATCAATCAGTAGGGAAAGCAGCATCTGAGGAAAAAGCATGAGGAAAAACATAAGGGTAGACATCAAGGGTATGTGGTGGGGAGGATAGATGACCTGCTAATGAAGGATTCAGCTAGGATGTTGCTAGTGATAGGAGGAAGAAAAGGACACCAGCATATGACAGCCCAGTCCATATGCAATAATTGTTTGTAGATGACACGGGGCTCTTTTATAAACATTTTCCATATGTATATCTTTTTCCACTGGGGATGAAAATGACGTCATATAATTATTGACTTAGAAAGACAAGCACAAGGCCCATCATTCTAATATTTGATCACTAATCATATCAAGCACTTATTTTCCACTGATCTAGAGGCTTCCCAACATAGAACTCACCAAGTCTCCTAATGTCAACTATGACAGTTGAAGTAGGTCTATTTCCATAGTATGACATTATTATCTCAATCCCCACTTGTTAATATTAGGCTCTAGATATTTGCGGCGGTGCATGTGAAGAAAAAATGGATTTTAATAGAGAGCAGGCAAAAAGAGGACGAGTTTCACCAACTTGTTGTAGAAACAGGGAATACGGATGGTATTGTCGAGCAAACATATCTCATTTTGCCTTGTGAATGCTGGCCAATATCTCAATATAGCAGGTCTCCTTGAAGTATGCGATCGAGGATGGCATGGCAAGACATCGGTTTCTGACATCATGGTGTGGATGCAGCCCACAATCACAGTGCAGGCTGCTGCGGAGATGGCATCAACTCGCGCCACCTCTCTCTCCCTCTATACCAGGCGCCGCGTAGAAAGCCAGTATTTTTCGCCGACACCGGTCGATAGATATTAACCTCCTCAGTCGAAGCCAGAGTCAAAGGAGAGAGGAGGAAAGTGAAGCAAGTCGGGTCCGCTTACTTTACTCGGGTCCATTGCCAGCCCATTAATTCGGCGCACTAGCATAGGGGTTTAGAAAACTCGAGATGGGCCGCAATGCGCACTTTCACCATGGGCTGCTGTTGGTGGACCATTGGCAGCCCCGTCATCGGGCCTGACGCGTACATAAGACGGCGGAATCTCATCACTTAGAAAAAGATGGGCATGGCAAGTATGAGGATCCCCCCAGTGCCACGTTCCTGTCTCCCTTTCAGAGGCTGGCAAGTCACGAATGATCCTAGCCGATTAGACGTTTGGCTGACTTTTCCCGTCAACGGGAATGGGCGTTGTTGACTATCCGACGACTTTTCTCGTCTACGTAGATCGTATATCGCGGGGTCTCCCAACGTCGGCATCGAGCATTTCCTGTCATCTCACGCTCCTCTTTACTCGCCCCCCGTAGTACGGTCTCCACCGGTCTCCACCGGTCTCCACGGCGAGTGGTCAGTCAACGTCCCATGTTGCCTACAGTATTCGGGGAGAATGGGTTCGCTCGGGAGGAACATCTATCTCCACTATAAATAGGTCACTTTGGTGTCGTCGTTCTTCGTTCCGGCTCTGTTCACCTTCAACTGCGTTCATCCTCCGTCTGCAATGGCCTGCCGCCGCGTGCTTCTTCTTGTCCCCCTTTGCCTCCTCCTCCTGACGCCTCACCAAACCAGTGCTCTCTCTTCTTGCGGGGGGCCCTGCAAAACCCTGAACGACTGCAGTGGCCAGCTCATCTGTATCGGCGGCAAGTGTAACGATGGTCCCGAGGTCGGCACCCATATCTGCGGCGGCGGAGGAGGTGGAGGAGGAGGCGGTGGCGGAGGGTGCCCCCCATCGCAACCCCTCGTTTGTGGCAGCAAGTCGCATCCCACGTACAGTTGCTCGCCGCCAGTTACCTCCGCCACGAGAGCTATTCTGACCAACAACGACTTCAGCGAAGGTGGTGACGGCGGCGGCGCATCGTCTTGCGACGGTAAGTTTCACAGCAACTCCGAGAGAATCGTCGCGCTGTCCACCGGCTGGTTCAGCGGCGGCAGCCGGTGCAACAAGCTTATCCGCATCACCGCCGCCAACGGCAGGAGCACGATGGCGAAGGTCGTCGACGAATGCGACTCGCTGCACGGCTGCGACGCGGAGGACGCCTTCCAGCCGCCGTGCAAGAACAACATCGTCGACGGTTCGAACGCCGTCTGGAACGCTCTCGGTCTCAACATCGACGACGGCGAGGTGCCGGTCACGTGGACAATGGCCTGAGTGCCGCCGTTGACTCCGTATGCTTACTTACCGTTCTTGTAGTTCTTCTCGCCGAAAGAACAAGAATGGCAATAATCTCGCGGTTCCTACCGAACCTATTAATGAATAAACGAATGTTACTAAAACACGTGGCTTCGTATGAGGGATGTCTCGGTTCCTGCATCGAATGATCATATACATTAGTAGTGATTGGGCCACCTTATTTTTCGACGGATTGACTGTAGCACGTTGAGTATACCCTCTTCGTGATTGATCGTACATTAATTCCAATGGCGGACGCCGAGTTGGCCAAAATAAATCGGCAATAAATTAATGAATAATACTTAAAATAGAAAGGATGCGTCGGCGTCTCCAGCCTCGGCCTCCGAAAACATATCTGAGCGACGCCGCCCATATAAGAATCTACTTTTCTATCTTGACCGTGGTGCCTCATCATTTTGGACGAGGGGTAAATGTCAAGTGAATAATGTCATCATGGGACCCTCGAACAGTCATCGTGAGGTCAGCGGAGACCAAGACATTTTATGCCTGGGTCCGGGATTGCAGCAACAGCCTTGACAGCTTCTCAGCCACCCGCTTTATCTTCAGTCCCACTAAAACCAAAACTGATATTTTTTATCTGATTAAATTATTATTTTTCTACAAAATATTAGTCAACGATTAAGTTATCATAATCACTCAATCATCACTTAAATTATCATCAATGTAATTCACAGAGCATTATTATTAACTAAAGAATAATTATGAATAAAAAAATCACAAATATATGAAGTAAATTATCTCTAATTGATCAACGAGTCAACCATCATTGAGAAAAGAATAATCTACTAAAAGACTAGTCACCATCTCTTAAGCATGTACAAAATACAATGAAGAGCCTTGATGGCGAGTGGGACCTGTCTCCCTCAGCTTAAGAGATATCGATAGTTCAAGTTCAGCCTGATCGACGGGTGAAGACGAAAGAGCTTGGTTTTCACTACACAGCCTAGCCCTTTGGGACAATGACATTCCACCTCCAAGACGACAACAAGCTCAAGCTCACCCCTTATCTTTCTTTGTATTTTCACGTTGACTTGTCAGGCCTTGCGTTTGTATGTTAGCAGGCCTAATTCTATGTGTGTGTTGTTGTTTGTATCTCTCTTTCTTTAGAGTTTTATTGGGTCTCTCTTTTGAGGCCTAATTAAACCCCTAAGGGGGGGGGACCTATGCTTCTTTCCTTTTGGGCTTCTTTTGGGGGCTTATTTGCATCTTCATTTGAGGCCCACTTAAGCACCTACGAAAGCCCTCCTCTTTGTCCTTTTAGGAGAGCTTATTGGGTCTCTCTTTTAGAGGCCCAATAAACCTATTTTGTAACCTTTTGTGGCTTATGGGTTTGAGGGCTTCAAGTGGGCCCAGCTCCCCTTAGCCCACTTGTGGGCCCCATATAAGGGGAGGTAGGACCCCCCCTCAAGAGAGCATCATATTTTTGAGAAAAATTATCATTGTGAGTTATCTTCCTTGTGACCTAGAATAGGGAGGGAAGGGAGAGGAAGGCCGTTGCCCAAGACCTTCGAGGACTTCGTTCCTTGTGACGCTGCTGCCCGAGGAGTCCCGCCGCCGCCTGAGACCATTGCCGCCGCCGGTCGGCCATCTCATTGCTGCCCGAGAGTTCACCGCCGTCACCAGACAAAACGGTCGTGGTTGCCGCTGTAACCGCTGCCACCTCTGCTGGAACCCCATCACGCCGTCGTGACAAAAGAGTCTCACGTCGCCTCCCTACGAGCCCTCGCCGAGCACTCCTGGTTTTATTGCCACCTCTTCCTCCGGAACTCCGCCCTAAACTCGCCAGAGCCACCATCCGTTGCTCTGCCCAGTCGTTGGCCGTTTGCCGACGAACGCCTGCCTGCCACCGACGTCGGGAGAGACCTTGCTGCCATGCCGACGAGCCAGATCCAGTCCAAGCACCTCACAGGCCCCTGCTGGAGTTTCCCGACAATCCGTCGCCATCGCGCCATTTCCAGCGCCGCCTAGATTAGGAGGGCGCAACCCTCCCTTGTCGGCTGGACCGTCTCCTTCCTCTACTCTGCTTCCCGGCGCCACCAAAGAAGGCCGATCCTTCCGGCGACGGCTGGTTTGCCACCCAGCCGCTGACGTTCGGTATTCCTGCTGAAGCGCCGCTGACGCTCGGCCTACCTGCCGAAGTGCCGCTGACATTTGGCATTCCCGCCGAAGCGCCGCTGACGTTCGGCATTCCCGCTGAAGCGCCACTGACGTTCGGCCTTCCCGACGAAGCGCCGCTGACGCTCGGCAGTCCTGCCGAAGCGCCTCCACTGCGCGCGCCCCGTGTGCCCACCCGGCACCGCCGCCCACGTGCCCTAAGGCTGCTGCGCGGCTTGCCGCGCGTGCCCGCTAGCGTGCCCTTCGGCCCACCAGTGGGCCCTCACCTGCTAGCGTGCCCTTCGGCCCACTAGTGGGCCCACGCCCATGCTGACCGTGCCACGCCTTACGACGATGGCTACTGCGACTCTTGACCAGGACCAACTGTCGATGCTGAGCATCACTCTTCACCAGATGTCTCTGCCTTTGTCGAATCTCTACTCCATCATGACTTGTTGGGCTACGCAGCCCCGAAGGTTGGCTCCGTACCCCTTCTTACTTAAGTTTAATTATCTTTCGAAGGGTTTTCTCGGCTTGTTCCCACAGCCATCAGGAGAACATAGACAGGATGGGATGGGTTATCAGGTTGTGACTTCTGACGCTGCGCCAGACTTATCACCATTTGTGAGCTGCAGCCCTAGGCTACCTCACAATGACCGTTCTATCATCTATTTAGACGTGGATTGAGAGGACCAAGAGGTTATGTGGTCAGACCTAGAGTTTAGGGTTCATACATTCTTATCAGATTGGTCTGACTGCCCCTTCTCAAGTCTTGAGTTTCATTGATCAGGTACAAGGATATTCACCCTATCTTGCATCAAATTGGTATCAAAGCCAAGTTAGGTTACCACCTAACCTCGGTCTCTTAAGGACGCTCACTGAGCTTCCATATCCCTAGTCGATCATTCATATAGGATTGCATTGGCATCTAGGCACCCATAGGTCTTAGCCATGGTAGAGACATGCTTAGCTAGAGCTCGAAGAGGTTCACCATTGTCACGGCACTCATGCGAGGTCTCAGATCCCCCCACTCTCCAAGTAGCTAGAGTGGACACGAGTCCACCATCTTTGTCGAAACTGACATATATGGTACCAGACCCCTCCCGACCCCAAGAGACTCTGAGCCCTATGTCAGCTAGAGAGACATCAGGGTGGCCCCAGCCACCCGCAGCTATGAGCCGGCGAGTTTGGAAGGAATCCATGCCCTACTATCCACCGAAGAGTACTAGGGGTCGTGGTAGAGGTGGCTGCTGGCAACCTTCGCCCTGGTACCCTTCGAGGGATGGAGCGCGCTCCCTCCTAGATGATGTCATGTATAGCATGACTTAGGCTATTAAGTGTCTAGAGTGAGCTACCTTTGTAGCTATAGCTCATGGCCCACCGCCACCGGCTCCACCACCAGTCGCATATGCGGTCGCACCATTGACCACATCGCCTGTTACACAGGCATATCTAGAGCATTGCGCGCCCCGACGGCCTGTGAGCCCTTATAGTGATCTATATGATCACTAGTACCTTGATCACGATCATCGTTAAGGGAATCTTTGTTGCCGCGACGCACCTCGTCACGACAATGGCCACGATCAATTGGGTGGTCATTGGCCACAGGATACTTATGATCGCCGCGAGCTGGTCTACCTTGCACATAGGGATGATCTCCCACGTTTGCCACCACCACCACCTTGACCCCACTATGAAGACTATTGACCCCATGGACGCGACCAAGGACATGATAGGAGAGACCTTCTGGGTTACAGAGCTGACCCTTCTTGATGAAAGGAGCTCGATCAACAAGTAGAGCATTAGCCACGAGATCGTGATGATTCCTACTGCGACTACCAGCGTGCTCTAGACCTTCACCGAGCACCCCAAGATGCCAACCAGGATCATTACCATGACCAAGGACATTACTCGAGTCCTCCCCATTGTGACTTTGGTGGTGACCATAGAGCTGATCGATTGGATGATCGAGATCGGTGACTGACGTGACTCAGTCGTTCTATGTTAAATCACGCAAATATAAAATTTATAAAACTAGAAAATACAATTTTTTGGATATTTAGAAGTATTTAAAAATAAGTATATCAATTATAATTCAATAAAAATTCCAAAAATAGCGATAATTTTCCAGGTCGATCACAAGGATGTAATATAATATCTGGTAATTATTCAGAATTTTTCTCAATGAATACGATTTTCTTACGAATTTTATACTAGGAAATAAAAAGGAAATATATTTAAAATTCATGAAAAAAAAGGAAATAAGGGTGCGGGTGTCAAGATGATGTCAGCGCCCGGCAAACGCGAATCATGTAAAAACAGAGTTCCGCCCGGCGATTTTTACGTAAGTGATTACAGACGACTTAATTAATCAAATTAAGATTTGTAAAAGCCGGAAGAATCGTAATTCAACGAAGTATAGTTTGGTAAATTAAAATCACACAAAGTATCACTAAATGAAGCGTAAATTAAATTGAAAGCAGGAAAACAGAGTTCTGGCATCGCGACGGCAATGCGTCGACGATGCACCAGAATCCTAAGCGTTCGGGAGGATCGTCGTGCAGTGTCCACGGCCTCGAAGACTCTCCTTGGACAAAGATGACGTGGGCAATCTCTAGATCTTCTCGCGAGGTCTAGAGATCAATGAAGTGGGTCGTCGAATTGTCTCCAGCGGCTGTCACCCAGCGGAGTGGAAAAACGGCGACTTTGCGGCTCTCCGGCGGCTGTCACCCGACGGAGAGGAGCTGGATGGAGGTGAGGCGCGTGTTAGGGAGCTTCATCCTCAGGTTCGCGCAGCAGGAGGAGGCTCTTCATCGCATCTGGTACGCTCTCAGGAGGTGGCGACTGGTCTCCCGGCGGATCGTCCTCTTCCCGACGACGGCTTGTTCGTCGATCAATCAGAGATGATTTACTCGATGGATTCGCGATCCTTTTATCGCGAATCGTTCAGCAATTTTAGTAGCAATGCTCTGCGAATCGCGTTGATGAGATTTTCGCCGATGATCTAGCGATTCTCGTTGCTTAATCCTTCACCGGCGATCTGCAGGAAAGTCGCGATAATCAGATAAAAATATATGAATTTTGACTCTAGGAAGATTCGAACCCGCGCCGGTCGCCCGCCTCTTCTGAGGAAGGTGTGACGCGGGTTTAGTCCCACATCAGTTGTAAGCCAATTTTTCGGGCGAACATATAGTAATGTTAGCTTTGTGAGCAAAGTCCCTTCTCTCACGTGTATGACCACTCCTTGCCCCATAGTCGGCTGGCCACCGGTGACGTAGAAGGGGAGTGGCGTACGCGTACGTACCCTGTCGGTCCCCAAGTCAATTTATTAACTCCTTGATTGCGCTTCCGACCCGCTCGCGGGCCCGGCTGGCCGGCAGGTCCCCTCATTTTTGTAATATTTTTATTTTTATTTCTTGTTCTTCATTTATCTCAAAAGTAAAACTGTAAAAATTGTATAAAATCACATAATTACCCAAAACTTCACGTTAATCAATTGAAAACCAAAAATCATTCTTTAACACAAATATAAGTCTATTTATCATGAGTTAAGGCTAAAACTATATTATTTACTAATTATTAACTCATGATAATGAAGACTTATCAGCGATGTGAGGATTAAGGGCCTACATACTGAAAAGTGTGCGCACTGATGTGGTAGTCTTTGACAGCTCCCATGAGCCTAAAGACTTCATAGATTGGGAGTCTATTATGAACTCCTATTTCTGGTGGTACCACATGGATGATGATTTATGTGTGTAGTATGCAGAGATGAGACTTGGCAGACAAGCCAATATCTTTTTGGAAAATAAAAGCTACGTGGCACATCGATGAGGGCAGGCCATCACATCATGGGTTGATATGGCATCACACTTGAGGAACAAATATGTTCTTTGATAGTATGAGTCGATGTTGTTCTTTAGTTGGTTAGACCTCTGATAGGGCAAGATGCCCATTTGAGATTACATTTAGGCTTTTGAGGACTGTCACATGAGTTGTCACTTTGTCAAGGACTCACGTGTGGTTTTGGGCATTTTCACCCACATACTTATTCCGCAGCTTCGGAACAAAGTTATGAAAAGTAACCCATTTGAAGTAGACAAGGCCTATTGGATAGTAGAGCATATGGAACGACCCGCTGAGGACACACTATTCACCCCACCTCCGATCACCACGAAGATTGCGTCCACGCAATCTCCACAGACATCAATGACAACATCGACGCATACTAGCGTAGGGAACAGACGGACTACACCAGCGACATCAGGAGGGTCTGCACCACCCTCGCGCCGGCCATTAGCTGATGCATTTGACCATGCTATAGCCGCGTCCCAAGCCCATATCACTTGTTTCAAGTGTAAGGATAAGGGGCACCGGATGAGCCAATGCCTATCTACAAATCTCTTTATAGAGATCGAAGAATTGGATAACGATTCACACGAAGATGATGTCTCTGTAGGTGATGATGTCTACATTGTTGACAAGGGTTTGGTCGAGGAGTGTGATAACACTCTTGATTTGATTGACTACATCTAGATCCGGCCAACCACTGTACCAGTAGTCGAGGCTGCCTCTCTCGCTGCCTCATTGACGAGCACTTCATTGAGGGGATTGGTCAGCATCACTGTCTAGCATCCATCTCGAGACGTGGTTCCTACACTATAGCTAGACACTATGGCAGCTAGAGAGATCACCCTAGCACCGAGGACGACTATGCCCACATCTACGCCTACGACTGACAATTTCCTTCGTTGATCTTCTACATCTATGTGAAGATCAATAGACACACGTGCAAGGTGATCGTGGATAATGGCAGTTGCGTCAATGTTGTGTCACACCAAGTCTTGCAGAGGGCAAGGCTGAGTACTATCAGCCATCCAGCCCCTTACGACGTACCGTGGATAGACGCCACTGCACTACCATTCGTTGACACTGTTAGGTGCCACTTAGGGTGAGCACCTATGATGAGCACACCTTGTGTGATGTCCTTCTGATGAAAAGCAGCGACATCATACTTGGACGGCCCTAGTTGTTTGACTATGACATCCAACTTATATATCGAGATTGCTCTTTCATATATCGAGAGCAAACACTTGTTCTTTCATATATCAAGATTGCCGACTTGTTTGGTATCTGCATATCAACAATCCCGTGCCAAAGCGTGACCCTAAGTCACGTATTGGGTTAATCGTGATGAAGGGACCTGCCTTTCAGCTTGAGATCACGTCAAACATAGATGGATCCTTGACGTGCTTTGCTCTCGCTTTGGATACGTGAGATTACATGACTCTTACCCTACCTTCTCTAGAAGTTGAGGGTATATTATTGGAGTACGCCGACGTACTCCCAGAGGAGCTTCTCAGAGAGCTGCCTCCATTGAGGCACATTCAACATGCTATCGACTTGGTTCCCAGAGCATCACTCCCAAACCTGCTGCACTATCGCATGGAGCTGGCCAAGTACAAGGAGCTTAGTCGATAGGTACAAGAGCTTTTGGACAAGGGATTCATCTAGCCGAGCCTTAGTCCTTGTGCTGTGCCTGCATTATTAGTGTCGAAGAAGGATGACACTTGGCACATGTGCTGTGACAGTCGAGTGATCAATAGGATAATGGTTAAATACTATTTTCCGATCCCATGATTACAAGACTTATTTGACATGATGACAAGAGCCACTATCTTTTTAAAAATAGATCTACACAGTGGTTATCATCAGGTCAGGATACACTTAGGGGACGAGTGGAAGACTACCTTCAAGATCAAGGAGGGCTTATACGAGTGGAAGGTCATGCCATTTGGCCTCTCCAACATGCCCAGTATGTTCTAGAGGCTAATGAATGAGGTTTTATGCTTGTTCATTGACAAGTTCATCGTAGTATACTTTGACGACATCTTGATCTACAACGGTACCCGAGACTCCCACCTTCAGCACTTACGACATGTGTTTGAGGCACTTCGACAAGAGAAGATTTATGCCCATCCTAAGAAGTGTAGTTTCTTCACATCTGAGGTTATGTTCTTTGATTTTGTCGTCTTTGAGCACGGAGTTTCTACAGACCCCTAAAAGGTCTGCGCGATAGTCACCTGGCCACGGCTAGGCAGCATGCATGGCATCCGGAGCTTCATTGAACTAGTGACATTCTACCTTCACTTCATTTAGGACTTTAGTTCCATCACCGCTCCACTTACTGATTGCCTCAAGAAGAAGACCTTCCTTTGGACCGAGGCAACTGAGCAGGCCTTCGATCAAGTGAAGGCTCTTATCACTTAGGCACCGATACTTGGCCTACTCGACTTTGGCAAGGTATTTGAGGTCGCCTGTGACACCTCGGGCATCAGTATTGGGGGTGTCCTTAGCTAGGAAGGCCATCCCATAGAGTACTTCAGTGAGAAGTTGAATGATGTGAGGCTTAGATACTCTACTTACAATGATGAGTTCTATGCCGTCATTCAGGCTCTCAAACACTAGCGTCATTACCTCCTTTATAAGGAGTTTGTGCTCTTCTTGGACCATGAGGCCTTGAAGTATCTGCACTCTCAGTGGAAGCTGAGCGATCGACACGCACGATGGGTCGAGTACTTGTAGGACTTCACCTTCGTCCTTTGCCACAAGAAGGGGAAGGAGAACGTGATGGCAGATGATAAGTCTTCATTATCATGATTTAATAATTAGTAAATAATATAATTTTAGCCTTAACTCATGATAAATAGACATATTTATGTTAAAGTGTGGAAAGTAGTTTTCAATTGATTAATGTAATTTTTTTGATAATTATGTGATTTGACATGATTTTATATA